TTGAAAGTTGCGGACAAGTTGCTGCGGACACACACACACACACACACACACACACACACAAACACATACAGACAACCCCGTAACAATATGCGTTTTGTACTGCTGTTACACAGCACAAAACGCATAAAAACGGAACATTACAACTGAAACTTGTAATTTTAATTTTAGATGATGGGTGTTTATGTGAAAAGTAAGGGTTAAAAAGAAAGGAGTAAAAGAAAATGTACTTGTTACTCGCATTACACCCCGATACTTTGGTCAGCTGCAATTCATCACGCCATGCTCTAGCTGCGCTGCTGTCAACATTTCAGTTGCTTTGTCCAATGCTGCATCTTCTGATGGTCAGCCTGCTGGTGATCCTCATTTTTGCTTCTAAAATACTAAAGAGCGGAAAGGAACTGTTTTGATATAAGCAGGAAACGATTCAAGAACCGAGAAATTAGAAAAATTTTTTATAAAAAATGGAAGGAAATATTCCGGTCCATGAAGTCGTATACATTTCTTACCAGCGCCATAACTGAACCTAAACACTCACTGGTTTTCCTAACAGAAGCATCTAGCAAAACCTTAGCCGTTTCGTAATGTCATTACTGTGTGTGCTTTTGAATACCATCACCTCAGTTGAAACGTTGCCAGTCTTCGACCACGATATGTACTCTGCATTGTGCATGAAGCACAAACAAAACACTACTAATGAAAATCAAAAATTAATACAAGTGACACATGCACTCAAAACCTCAAGCGGGTGGACCACCGGTACCACGACCATTGCAACCGGATGCCAAACCCAAAAGCGAGTGCATTTTGCGCAGCCGAGCCGAGTTTCAGTAATTGCCTCTGTAGAATGAACAAGCTGCGTAGACACGGTGTTAACGAAAGACTGTGTGTTTCACGGAGTTCGTCAGATGGCTTGATGGCCGTCGAGCAAAGCTGGGAGTTTTCTACCCGAATTGCGACCGATGCTAAATAGTGCTTTTGCGGGGATTTGGCCGGTGATCCGCGTTGGTTTTTCGGTGTTTCTGTTGCTGCGCGAACTGTTTGGTCTGTTATTTATGAATGGATGTTGCGGGCACAGTTACCCCTACAGGCGATCTTGGCGTACAGCTCAGTCCGCACTTCGGGAAGTCAGTGATGCACCAGTGTTTTAAGCGTGCTTCGACTAGCTGCAGTTCACAGTGTTCGCTTATTAAACCTGAGAAGCTAGTAACTTTTGTGCTGTCTCTGACCACCGCTACATCGCCAAACTTAATTCGTCTGCTGAAGGGATTCTTAACTCAGCGGCTCTCCCAGCTGAAGCACCTGTCAAAGCTTAAGAGTCACTAGCAAGGAGTGTATACGACTTGGTGGACCGAAACATTCCTTTCCAGTTTGCAAACTTTCTGGGATAATAATTCTTTCAATTCTGCTGTTCGTGCATAACATTCCCTCTCGACTTTTTCGTTTTAATTATGCGTTTTTGCTTGTGCGCAAAACACATATTGTGACGACCCCGGTGTGTGTGTGCGCGCGCGTCTGTCCGGGTATTTCAACTGGGCACCCAAGCAAGCTCCGGCGCCAAAATCTTGCGAGTGGGTTCCCCGGCCAAGTGCTACCCCAGGACCGCGGTACTAACCCCTAAGCACGTCTAGGTCCCGCGTACGAGCGCATCAAAGTTTTGGCGGGGAAATCGCTAACTTGGGAATCAGAAAAGCTAGAAGCTGAAATTTTGGGATTATGTTCCCCGTCCACATAGAACTCAAAGATTTTAAATTCAGCCCGCAGGTGTGCGTGTTTCCCGCGTACAGCCGTGTGAGGGTTCCTGGCGCGAAAATCGCTAGCTGGGAAACCAAGAAAACTGGGAGGCTGAAAATTTCAGGAAATGTTCCCAACTCATTTACAACTCAAATTCATCAAATTCAGCCCCTCGTTATGCGTGGTTACCACGTGCGGCCTCGTAAAAGTTTTTGGCGGGAAAATGAATAACTCCGAAACCAGGGAAGCTGGGAGGCTGAAACTTCCAGGAAATATTCCCAACTCATCTACAAATTGACTTCATCAAATTCAGCCCCCCGTTATGCGTGGTTACCACGTACGGCCGCCGTAAATTTTCTGGCTGGAATTTGGGTAACTCGGGAACTGAGAAAGCTGGGAACCTGGGATTTCAAGGGTATGTTCCCTGTCCAAGTATAGCGTGGTTAAGTAACTTCTCGAAATTTGAGGACAGTATGTACGAGAGGTTTATAGCTAGCGGAATTTCGAGTTCTCTTATTATAGCACGAAACACTGCAAAAACGCATGATCGCACGGGCCCGTCAGTGCGCGTCGCCAGTGATTTAAAATTTAAAGCTTTTCGAGATACGCTTAGTGTATATATGCTCCGAACGTCCCGAACATTCCCATACTTCAGCACATCTGCGGGGTATCATCTCGATCGGGAGGTTGAGTTTGGCCTTCTGTCCCGTTCGTTTCTCAGCGATTTAGCACGACGCATCGAGAAAACTTGTGAAAGCTTTGGATAATTCGATATTTGGAAATTTCTAACAAATAGCTGTTTTGATAGAAATTAATGTGCGCGTTGTTAGCAGCGTTGCTTGCATGCCGAAACCCCTCACCAAGGGCGGCGTGTGCTTGTGAGGGAGCAATGCCAAAATTAACACGAAAACTTTAAATAAGTAGCGGCGCGCACCAGAGCAGCCGGTACAATAATGCGTTTTGTGCAATTCCGTTCACCAAACAATTGCCTGCTAATGATTTTCACCGCTTTGCAGTTTGGTCTTTGCAAGAATAGTTAAAATGTTGTCTGATTCTCAAGTTGCAGAATTTCCCATTAAAAATTTCACGCACGCGAAATAATAATTTCTCTATCAAAACTTCCACGGGGCTATTTGTGAGAGTCAGGGGTGTGTGAAGGCTGAATCTAAACTTGCAAAGTCGTACGTTCGTAGAGGAGATCACCACAAAATTTCAGATTCCCAACTTCCGCAGTTCCCGAGATAATAATTTCCTCGCCATAATTTTCACGGAGCCGTAGGTGATACCAGAAAGACCGGGAACGCTGAATTTAAATAGGCAAGGTCGAGCGTGGGCAGAGGGTTATTACCTAAAATTACAGCTTCATAGATTCTGCAGTTCCAGAGATAATTTACCGCCAAAACTTTTACGGGGCCGTAGGTGATGCTCGAGAGCGCGGGAACACTGAATTTGAATAGGCAAGGTCGAGCGTGGATGGGGGGGTCATTACCCTAAAATTTCAGCCTCGTAGATTCCGCGGTTCCTGAGATAACAATTACCCGCCAAAATTTTCACGGGGCCGTTCGTGTTACTCACGGGCAGGAGAAAACTGAATTTAAATTTTTTGGGCAGGGGACATGCCCACAGAATTTCAGCTTTCTAGCTCCCGTGATTCCTGTGGTAATAACTTTATCCGCCCAAACTTTTACGGGGCCGTACCTGTTACCCGCGCGTACGGGAGGCTGAATTTGAAGTCGCGAAGTCACACGTGGGTAGGGGATGTTCCTGTAAATTTTCAGCTCCCTAGCTTTTGTGGTTCCAGAGTTGAAAGTTGCTGACAGCTTGCTGCGGACACACACACACACACACACACACACACACACACATACATACACACACAGATAACCCCGTGACAATATGCGTTTTGTACTGCTGTTACATAACACAAAAGGCATAAAAATAAGGAGGGAAGAAATAAGGGGAATTGGGGAGAGCAGGCCTGGCTGAGGCACCTCTTTCCATAAATCACACCTCTGATGTGATTTCTTGATTTGAGGTACGACGAATATTATCCGCTCTGTGCGCATTCGCTTAATAATCCTGAATCGTTGTTTTGCAGATGTTTGTGCACCTCAGTGTGGTTCGGATGTAGCCTGCATCATCATGGATTCTGAAGAGGGCGATGCTCTCCGGTCACTTACGATAGGTGACGAGGAGTGCATTGCTGCCCATTCGGTTGCTATGGATGCGGGAGACGATGATCTCAGCCAGCTGGTTACGGTAGATGATCCAGCTGGCGACGCAACCCGTTCAGCTACGGTAGATGTCAAAGAGGGCAATACAGCCCAGCCGATTACGGTGGATGGTGAACGGAGCGATGGTGTACAGGTGGTTACGATGAGCGCTGAGAAAGCTGAAGAGAGCGATGCTGCCCAGTTGGTTATGATGGCCGAGTCCGTTATCACAGAAAATGAAGAATGCAGTATTGGCCAGCCAGGTACTATGGACTCAAAAGAAAGCGAAGTCGGCGGACCGGTTACTGTAGTTCAGCC